ACAGTAGCACTCCTTCATCTTCCATCAGCCGTATTGGTGAGCCCCTTTCCTCTCGGGGCCCTGCGTGGCTCATGCCGCTTTTATTCTGAAATCTTATTTTGGTTTTTGTGTAACGTATAGCCGGAGCCTTGTTACCGGCAAGTACTGTATTATCCTATTGTATCTTTAGAGGCTCCGTAGACAATAAATGTGGGTTATGAACCTATGTAATTGTATGTCGGGCGATGTAAGTTGTAAACTTTGTTAAGTAACCAAGTATGTCGTGTATATTTTGAAAAAGGTGATTTCAATTATAAACTGGTTAATTCCTTGATTAATGAGTAATGAAAATACGGGGTAACACGTGGGTAGGAAAGGCACCCAGGTCCGCTTGACTGGGGCTACCCGGTCGGGCGCCGGTCATGTCCCTCGGTTTGGGGCGTGACACCGGGAGAAGTCCAGACGGCTTACGGAGAACAGCTAGCCTGCAAAGGAGATGTTTGTGGTCGACGAGGTGATTCCGGTGCCCGCGGTTTTGACATAAAGGAACGTGGAGCCGACCAGAAAGGAAGAAATTAAATAGCAATCACTGATGACGGTCTCGGCCGAACTGGAGGAACGAGGCATAGACGAGGAGGACGATTACGGTGTCCGAGATCATTCATAGCCCCTGATGATACTGACGCCACCAAATCGACAGTCGAAGAGTTTGAGCAAGTCATATTAATCGAACACCTATCGGATCCAAAGGTATACTTGAGCACGGGGTTAACTGATAAGTGCATTATACTTGATTTTTAAACATATAATTTCTTTGTAAGAATATAAAAAACTATCATATTTCTTCCATACTTTTGTCTAAATCATGCAAGAAAGGTTAAAGAAGGATTGGTCCGATAGTGAGAAGATTACATAGGAAAAAGTAGAAAAACAGACAAGCTAAACCAGAGTGAAATATGGTGCTAAAGAACGACATTATATAAATGTGATCTACTATGACAAAGGACAATCGATTCACAACCGGCTACAACAAACTATAATCGATCCATAACTAACCTACAACAGAAGCTCATAACCAAGAATCACAAGGCCACAACCAGCCATGACAAGTTCATATCCAGAAGTGTATTGAAAACTTTGTCATGGCTTGCCTATAAAAAGAGGCATCAACCATGAAATCAAAGGAGCAAAAAAAAAAAAAAAATGAAAGCTTGGAAGCGTAGTATTGAAATCAAGTTTTAAGTAGAAAGTTGTTTCCTTCTTTTTCTTCTTTAGTTTCGTCTTCTTTTTCTTCTTTTAGTCATTACACTGGCTTCATCTCTAGTTCCGAATAAATTGTAGTGTCGGAAATTACTCTAGTTCCTGTTTATAATTAAATAGGGGAAAATATTCTTCTTGAATATTTCTTTCTATTTTCTTATTTAATGGGCAAGAATATTTCCATTGTCGGTATTAACTCCATTATGGAGTAACTTTTCTTGTATAGGGAGAATGACGGATCTTAATATTTCTATATAATAGTAGATATTATTCCTCAATTTCACATGTTTAAGCTGAAGCTTTTCATTTAAATTTCATTTGCTTTATAGTTAGGTGTTATGTAATTTGTTAACATCTATCTATCTCATACTATATATTAACTTCTTACTATTTCTGCAATCGAGAGAGGCAGCAGAAGTAATATAGTTAATTTTGGTATTGATAGATGTTAACTTTTATTTAATGATATCTAGCTCTTATATGTAAAAATTGATTCTACATTTATTTGTAATCGAAAAAGACGAATATTGAAGTAATCAGTGATAACAAGGGACTTACTAAAAAAAGAGAATGTTTCAGTTTAAGCATATATTTCTGGCTCTTTAAAATTACTATTTTGACGATTAATTTATATAACCGAGAGGAGTGCAATTAATTGTTCAACTTAAGTAATAATATATAAATCTAATCGTGAGAGGCATTTATACATTTGTGAGAAATACAAATGGAAGGATAATTTTATCTATTATATAATAGAAATATTAAGTGAAGTTATGATCCGAACATCTTTTTATTATATTTGTGAAAAATAAATATTTTTCTATTGCTCCATTCGTGCATTTTTAGTTAGTTAATTTACAACTCAACTCTTTCTGATTTTTTCAAATAGTAATTAAAACAAGAAATGTCTGTAGAATAGATAAATCAATCTTTGTGGGTTTGACATCTTTTTATACTACTATTTCACAGAGTACGAGTTTAAATTATATATACGCCAGGCACTCGTCATCAATCCCCGAGCTTAGGAAAAAACTTATTGATTTTCTTAAAGCTAACATAGATCATTTCACTTGGTCCCATCTTAACATAACAGGGATCCCACCGGAGATAACCATTCATAAGCTAAGTTTGGATACAAATTTCAGCCCGGTTAAGCAAAAGAGGAGGACACAGTACGAGATCAAATATGCATTCATCAAGGATGAGGTATCCAAACTTCTGAAAAGAGGATCCATCCGGGAAGTTAAATACCCGGACTGGTTGGCTAACGAAGTGGTAGTGCCTAAAAAAGGGAATAAGTTAAGAATGTGTGTAGATTACAAAGACCTAAACAAAGCATGCTCTAAAGATTCTTTCTCTTTGCCTAACATCGATCGAATGATCGACGCAACGGACGGGCACGAGATACTCAGCTTTCTCGACGCCTACTCCGGATACAACCAAATTCGGATGGACCCGAACGATCAAGAAAAGACTTCTTCCATCACTAAATTTAGCACCTACTATTATAACGTAATGCCGTTTGGATTAAAGAACGTCGGTGCCACCTACCAACGCCTAGTAAACTGAGTGTTCGAAGAACAAATAGGAAAATCAATGGAAGTTTATATTGACGATATATTGGTCAAGCCCCTGCGAGTAGAGGACCATTTGAAACATCTGCAGGAGACCTTCGACATACTAAAGAAATACAACATAAATCTAAACCCGGAAAAGTGGCATTCGGGGTAAGATCAGGCGAATTCCTCGGGTTCATGGTATCCAATCGGGGAATCGAGATCAACCCCGACGAAATAAAGGACATAGAGGACATCAGCGTGGTGGACAACATCAAGGCCGTTCAAAGACTAACCGGGCGTATAACCGCCTTGGGCCGGTTCATCTCGAGGTCCTCGGAAAAAAGCCATCGATTCTTCTCAATGTTAAAGAAGAATAATAGCTTTTCCTGGACCCCAGAATGCCAACAAGCTTTGGAAGAACTCAAACGGCACCTATCGAGTCCCTCGCTACTGCACACTCCGAAGGTAGGCGAACAGTTGTACCTCTACTTGGCGGTTTTCGAGGTTGCGGTAAGTGGAGTCTTATTCCGGGAGGAAAAAGGTACGTAATTTCCTATTTACTATGTTAGTATAACTTTAGGCAAGGCCGAATCAAGGTGTCCTCACCTGGAAAAATTGGCGCTCGCTTTGCTATGCTCCAGGAAGCTAAAGTCGTACTTTCAGTGCCACCTTATATATGTCATGACCTCTTACCCGATAAGGAATATCAAGCACAAGACCGAGCTCTCGGGCCAGTTGTCCAAATGGGCCGTTAAAATTAGCAGGTACGATATCAAGTATCGACCTCGAACCACCATAAAATCTCAGATTTTGGCAGACTTCGTGGTCGACTTTACGCCGGCCTTGATACCCGAAGTTGAAAGGGAATTACTGTTAACCTCGGGGACCACTTCGGGAATCTGGACCGTCTTTATGGATAGTGCCTCCAACACGAAGGGGTCTAGGCTCGGTATCGTATTAAAACCACCTACGAGAAATGTAATTAGGTAATCTATTAGAACTACGAAATTGACTAACAATGAGGCCAGGTATGAGGCCATGATTGCAGGTCTAGAATTAGCTAAAAGGCTTGGGGCCGAAGTGATCGAAGTTAAGTGCGACTCCCTCCTCGTGGTAAATCAAGTTAACGGTATGTTCGATGTAAAAGAAGGATGGATGCGAAGGTACTTAGATAAATTACAGGTAGCCCTACACAAGCTCAGGGAATTGACCCAGCATGTACCCCGAGATCAAAACAGTAAGGCCGATGCACTAGCTAATTTGGGGTTGTCGATCGATTCTGATGAATTCACTTCGGGAGCAGTAATTTAGCTAATGAACTCGGTGATAGAAGAAGGCCACGCCGAAGTTAACTCAACGAGTTTAACTTGGGATTAGAGAAAAAAATACATACACTACTTGAAGATAGGAAAATTGCCTTCGGATCCTAAATAATTGAGAGCCATGCGAACCAAAGATGCCAGATTTAGCTTGGTTGAAGGGGCATTGTTCAGGAGGACCTTCTTTGGCCCACTAGCCAGATGCTTAGGACCTGGAGAGACCGAATACACCATGAGAGATGTTCACGAAGGCACTTGCGGGAACCATTCGGTGGCAGAATCCTTGGTTCAGAAACTAATTAGGGCCGGCTACTACTAGATCAAAATTGAGAAGGATGCGAAGGACTTCGTACGGAAATGCGATGAGTGCCAAAGACATGCCCCGATAATCTATCAACCGAGAGAAATTCTCCACTCGATCCTGTCCCCATGGCCATTTACGAAGTGGGGGATGGACATCGTCGGTCCCCTGCCGTGGGCACTCGGTAATACTCAATTCATACTATTCATGATTGATTATTTCTCCAAATGGGTTGTGGATCAAGCGTTCGAAAAGGTCAGAGAGAAAGAAGTCATTAGCTTAATCTAGGATCACATAATATGTCGATTTGGGATACCAACTGAGATTGTTTGCGACAACGAAAAACAATTCGTCGCCAGCAAGGTGAGTAAGTTTTTCGAAGATCACAAGATCAAAAAGATACTATCAACGCCTTATCATCCTAGTGGGAACGAGCAGGTGGAATCAACGAACAAGACTATACTCCAAAACTTGAAAAAGTGGTTGACCGGTTCGAAATGGAAATGGAAGGAGATCCTGCCCGAAGTCCTAAAAAATCCTAGTTTTTATCAGAGGCTTGTTGGAAGGTTGTTATATCTCACCATGACCAGAACAGATATTGCTTTAGCAATGCAGGTTCTAAGTCAGTATATGCACTATACCAAGGTGTCACACATGGAAGCTGCTCTCAGAGTAGTAAGATATATCAAACAAGTACCGGGCCTGGGGCTACTTATGCTTGCAGAAAGTACAAACAAACTGATTGCCTACTGTGACTTTGATTGGTGATCTTGTATAGAGGTAAGGAGACCAGTAACTAGGTACTTGGTCAAATTTGGAAATGCACTGGTGTCTTGGAAGTCAAAGAAACAAATGACCGTGTCCAGAAGTTCAGTTGTGGCTGAGTTCAGGAGTATAGCTTCATGTGCAGCAGAAGTCACCTGGATGATAGGGCTATTCAAGGAACTTGGAGTGAAGATTCAACAGCCTATAAGTTTGATATGTGACAGCAAGGCTGCTATACAAATAGCAGCCAACCCTATCTTCCGTGAAAGAACTAAACATTGACTTTGATTGTCATTTTGTTAGAGAAAAAATATATGAAGGACTGCTGAAGACAGAGTATGTTGATACTAAAGACCAACTAGCAGATCTACTTACAAAGAGTTGGTGAAGTCTCAACATGATCAACTGCTGAACAAATTAGGAGTGAAGAATGTGTATAAACCATCAGCTTGAGGGGGAGTTGACTAGAGTTAATGAACCAAGCTGATAAGTTAATTGTAGTTAACTATGTAACTATAGTTAGAAGTTAGTTAGTACAGTAATTAGAAGTTAGTACCGTAGAAGTATAAATACACTGTACACTATGTAAAAACACACGCCTGTACCATTTCCTTCTTCTTCTAAATACAGAAATCTGTTTCTCTTGAGTGTGACCTTCATCTGCATGTCTTCCTCCTCAAGCTCGATCTCCAGATCTATGGCAGCTAACATCAATGTCGGCGTTTAATGTAGGGCTTCAATCGATTTTATCTTCAAATGCCTCCTTCATCGACTTTTTCGAACTACCCATGGCTGAACAATGGAGCGCCACCATCACCTCCGCTGGAAAATTTTTTTGAAGAAAATTACTAGTACTTCCGCCGGAATTTAAACCTTTGGAAGGATGGAAATAGTTTACCTTGCTGTGATAAATGCTCCACATGTCGTTAGGTGAAACAACGGGTGAATTAATCTTTTGGAGCAGATCTTGGTAGTGAATGTTTCTCAAGCGCCGGAACCGGTAGCATGCAACGACATCGGAATTTCCTGATTTGAACTTCAATGCCTGTTCCGAAGGTGCTAAAGTTTTCTCTAATATGATGCTTCACAGTTTAAGCTTCCCCATTTGATGATATGGATTTGTTTGAGGATACGGATTTTGCTCCTTTAGTGGTGTTGTCAAAATGACGTCATCGTGTTCATCTATCGGAGCTTATGGAGGAGAAAAATTGAAGGTGAATGTGAACAGTGAACGAAAAATGGTGAAGGCCAAAGTAGAACAAAATTGACTAGAAAATTGATTCTTCCGACAAAGCTTATATTTTCCGGCAAAATTATTTTATTGTATCTTAAACATAAAAAGAAAAAGAAAATAATGAAAAATAATGGATTAGCCATTTTTTTAGATGTGACGCGCTCAAAGAGAGTGACAAATACACATTTTGACATGTCAGCAAAATGTGTCTAATAAGTATATGTTTGAACTAGTTTAAGTGTTTAATAGGTACTACTTTGAGTTTAGGTGTCTAAATAAAAAAATTGGACAATTTTAAGGGGTTGTGTATGTATTTGGCCAAAAAAAAAAATAGAGTGAAAATAGAGTACTTTTAGTAGAAGAGTAAATTTTTTTATATCAAGAGGAAAATAATTTATTAAATTTGTGAATAGATCATTAATAATATTATGGGAGGTATGAATACTTATCAATTTTTATAGACTTTTTCTAATTTTTCTTTCCCTTATCTCACAAGATTATATACTTTCTCTTTTATTTCTTTCTCCAAAAGTATAAAAGTTCAAAAGCTCAAAAGCTTTACTGGTAAAAAATTGAGATCATTAGATGACGAGAACTTAAAAAAATATTGTCTTAACCTAGAATGTTCCTTAAAATATAATAGTCACTCTGATATTGATGGTTTAGACTTATTTTTTAAATTTAAAATATTTAAAAAATAGTACAAGTAGAAATTTATACTCTAATCGACACATTCAATCAAATAAAAAAACTTGATTCTTGTTCAAATGAATTTATTTTTTATAAAATAATATTTAACAGTTCATGTAACAATTGCCTCAATAAAATAGACATAAGATTGTTAAAATTACAATTAAGAAATTCATACCTAGGATCAACAATTCTCAAGAAAGATTAAATGAATTGAATATGTTGTTACTCGAAAAAGAATTATTCATATTATATCTCAAAATCTAGAGCAATAGGCTTTTATAAGGAAAAAATATGGTTTACTTTTAAATTTAAGGCCTAAATAAATTTTGGCTTTAGGCCTCTAAAATGCTTGAGCCGCCCCTGCTCGATTGTTTCGAATATTTTTGGATGTTATAGCGAAGTGCTGTTATATAGAACATATATTATAACTGTATACGACAAAATCAGAGGGCCCGATTTTTCGTCATTAAAGCATTTCGGAAGATCGCCTCGAAGCCTCGAGGCTGCAAAGATGCGCTCGAGTCTCCTTCCTCGGGGCCCGTCGACATCCGGCCTCGAGAGGATGTCGGTCGGGGCTGAAGCAAATTGGGAGTTCCCAAGACGCGGCTAAGCATGTCACTGCTAAGCCTGACAAAGCCTAGCCAGGCTACTCTGAGCCCTAATCAGGGCGTCACTTCTAGCTGTCCCATCTCCACACCCTTACAGCTAATATATGCCTTACCGCTTATGTTTTCCCCCTTCTATAAAGGGGATTTTTACTATTTTATAAGGGACTGATGTTGCTCCAAAGACTCTACATGAAATATATGATAACTCTCTCTCTCTCTCTCTCTCTTTCTCTCTACGATACTCTCTTGACACTGTTGTTCTATCCTATTATTTTCATACTTGTTTTATATTCATTGCTTGTTTATTGCTTATCATTGGCTATAAAGATGTTACAACCCATATTGATGTAAGTTGGTTCATGCCATAAGTTAGTCGACGTAAATCTAAGAAGTGATTATTTTTGAAATGATTAGAAGTTAATCCTATTGATCTTAAATGATACAAGAGTGTATAAGGGTGATTAACAAGTATTAGAAGTTAAACGAATCAAGGATGTTGTAACTCGTATTCTTGGGTAAACCTAGGGGTGCTTAATATTCTCAAGAGGTCGTATTTTAAGGTATTTGAATCATATAATATCCGTATCATAGTCTTGAAGTCAAACGAGTTATGAAACAAAAGTCGACAAGAGTTATCGCAACTTAGGTTCATAGTTTTACTTAAACTCTAGGTCAAATGTTAATAAACTTTTCTCCCAATGTACATGGAATTACGGGGTAATTTATCCACCCAATTGAAGATCTATGAGTCTAGTTTCCAACTTATTAAACTGTTTATCAATACGACATTGGAGTTGAGAGATATAGGCATTTTTGCGAGACTGCACAAGCTGCTAGGTGAGAAGTAGGTGTGTCACCTACTTGGTTAAATGATAGCCCAAAAATAGGCAATTTCGGGTCGGCCAAAGAGCCCATTTATAGGGTTATCTTCTGCAATATAACCCTCATTATATATCACAAATAACCAGACCTAAACCCCTGCAATCTTCCTCCCAAAAATTATCCATAAACCCTAATCGATTTTCCCTCTCTTTCAAGTTGTAATTGGGGGTAAAACCTAGAGTTTGAAGAACCAAGGGAAGGGTTGAGTTATCCAACAAGTAAGGTAAGTTTACCGCTATCTTTCGTCCATTTTTTTGCTCTGAATTCATGGTAATTCGTTCTATTCATGTAAGAACTCACAGGACGGTGATCGGAAGCCGTGAGTTTGAGTTATTCACTTGTAGCGGACTATTTTGTGGACTGTTTTGTGTTGATGTTGGGCTGCGTGTTTTACTACTGTTTTGTGGAGTTTTGGAGAGGAAGGGTGTGGAGAAACACCATATAGATGTAGGGTTGTGGGCTGGTCGTTCGTCGTAAAATTTCCGGGTCGTTTGACACGAATACGGTGGTCGTCGTATGTATGAAGTAATTAGGTTGTGTGTGGACTATTTTGGGAGGCTTAATATGATTATTATTGATGTTTTTTGGGATGTTTGGTGATTGTTTTGAATTGTGTGAAGTCATATATATAAGGGAGGTGCTGCCCGTTTCATCGTAAAATAGGTTGTGGTCAATACATAATAGTTATGACGCTTAAATGATAACTATAGTGTCGTTTCTCTTATTATAGACTAAGGAGTCGTGACAATTGCATAGCTTGAGATTGGGGCAGTATATACAAGGTATGTGAGGCTATCCCTTTCCTTCTATTGCACGACTCCGATTGTACATAATGCAATGAACGAGCTTCCAAAGATACTCTGCTCTTAGAAGCTAGCAGTACTTACATTGTTTCCTTTCTTATGGAACTATTGATGTTGAGGTTACTTCTCTTATTCTTATGTTATCAATGTTGTTGGTACTTCCTGATTCTTATAAGATTCTTGATGAAGAGTTAGTCCTAATAATTTGTACGGAGAATATCGACCTTACGTCACTCCGAAAGGTTCAGAATATGATTCCAATGAGTCCTGCATGCATTGTATATATACGTATCTATTTTACTCTATCGAGCCGCGCTATAGTTGGCCGGGTACGACACCTATTGTGCAACCACTGATCAGTTGGTTTGACGAAGCTCCACGTGGCCGGGTATGATTCTACCGAGCCTTATAATGGTCGGGTACGTTTTTACCGAGTCCTCTTTGAGGCTGGGTACGTTATGATGATGATTATGCCCATAGAGACGTGTGTATTAAAAGTTTATGTATATATATGTCTGTATCATGCATTTCATGTCAGTAGCCCACAGAGGTACCCAGATGTTACAGGTTGTATATTCTCTATCCTTATTCACATTACTGTTCATAGTTATTCTTTCCTGCCTTTCATACTCAGTACTTTATTCGTACCGACGTCTTTTTTATTTATGGACGCTGCATGTTGTGCTGCAGGTCCTGATAGACGGGTAGACGCAGCTCCCCCACCACAGTAGGCTTTCCAGTTCAGCGGTTATAGGCGAGATCCCTTCTCCGGACTTTCCATGGTCTTGGTATGCATTTTTGTTATAGATATTATGGGTGTGTCGGGGCCCTGTTCCGCCTATGTTGCATTACTTATGCTCATTTAGAGACTCATAGACAGGTGTCGGCTTATGTATAGTTTGGTATGCCTTGTTGGATGATTTTTGTTGTATAGTCTTTTATGGAAGCGTGGTAGCTCCTAACTTATATGTAGTTTCTTGGTAGTCTTGTTATCCCATGTTATGCATGTTCAGTCCATTATCTTTCATTGTTTGGTGTTCATAATCCATATCTACCACTTAT